AGTAACTAATTCAGTCTTGTGGCTGGGCCAGAGGAAAATGTTAACGCTGTGTGAGTCTGCGGTGTTGTTAATAAAACACACGGCCAGGTGTGAGCTTCATTTCTCTAGAAAGATGGCTCTGAGTCTCCACCACCTTTTGAGTAGTTAAGACATGTAAAGCTTCTGATAACAACGTTAAAATGGTTGCTTTTATGTAACAGTGACGTTTGTAATGCACAGGCAAATGCACAGGGAAGTTAAATATGGCATTTGTGATCAAATTGTAATGCACAATGTCTGTTTATTTGCTTTAAAATTTTCGGTAAAACATAAAATATAAAATGCACATTTTTAGGTTTTATTTTTTTATGTTTAATTGAGCAAATAAACAGTAACTGTACATGAAAATGTGCAAACGTGTGTTCTCTATAGAGCATGTGTTCACTTATTTTCACTTACAAAATCAACAAAGCATGTAATTTGACCAGAGGCACCCAGACTATTGCATGCGGCTTGTGTATATGTTGTGATTTTATGTACTGTGCCATGCCTTTTAACTTTGCAGCACTTTGCATATACTCAGTGGGGACCGTCTACAAAGTCCATTACAATCCATGCAATTTTGTACATACTGTCTGGCCAAAATAAAAAATAAAAAAAACCATCACTGCATCTGTTATAAATATGCTCACTCACATTCTACAAAGTGAGATTTTCCAGTTTGAAGATTAACAGCAGAGCCCAGTATGCATTCCATGCTGCTCTAAGCTGGTCTAGTACTGGTTTAGCTGGTCACCCAGCATGGGCATGCTAGATAACCAGCATACCAATATCCAAAACAGAACATATTGCTGCTGCAGAGCAAAACCTTGTATCTCCATTTTTTTTGTTTTTCAGTTTTTTACATAATTAGAAATTCATGATGAATGGACCAAAAGAAATAGTCCAGAATTACTTGGCGAAAAGTCTGGTTCCTTTGACTTACATTAAAAGTAAAGTATATTTTTTCCTTCTTCTGTAATGTTATCATTTTGGAGACTCAAGGTTTTGCTCCAACAACAGCGATATGCTGGTTTTGCTGGTGACCAGCCACGCTAGCCTATGCTGTTTTTTCTAGCAGGCTACCAGGCTTTCTAGACTAATTACCTCAGTCTGGCTTCTTTTTTTCTGGCCAAAAGGGTAAAAAATTGTCTCTGGGGTCCATTTTGTGCTGAATAAAGATGGAATCTCTGTGTTCTTTATGAACTTGTTTGAAGACCGAGGTAAGAGTTACACTGATACTTAGCTTGGTGGTATTTATTAGCCTAACAGTGGCTTGGCTAGATGTTAGGATTGGTTGACACCGCTGGGACTCCCACTAATGCTCAACATTAACGCTTGTCCAGGACAAGTGAACACTTTAAGAATGATACATACAACAATTGCCTTATATGTGTAAGTGTCCCAGCAGTGTAGCCTGTCCAAACTAATCAATCAGAATGTTTTTGAACTATAACCCGGCCAGGTAAGTGTCAGGCAAAGCTTTGAAATGAGTCAATCCAAGGGCAGATGTACGGGCCTACCAACTTGGAGGGATGAATTTGACTGGGTGATCTATGACAAAGAACAAGGAATGTTTTGCGTAACTTGCAGTGTGCATTCCAGATTGGCTGGGAAGTAAGTTACCTGCCAAAGTAACTTCAAACCACATGCTCACACAATATACATGTTTTTTTGATAATCTTAATTTTATATAGAGTTATTGACCGGTTTTTCCATGGACAAGTGATTTTAGCCTTCAGACAAATAAAATATGAATTTAATAGTCAATAGTACCAGAAAAGGCTTAAAGTCAAGCCCTGGTAATGCATGCTGGGTATTGTAGTCAGAGAACATTGATAAACAAAAACATGAAAATGATATATGACATGACAAACACATAATGCTAGTAGATCGGAATTCCCTATTAAATCACGCTGGTTAACTTAACAGCCAGACTGTACGTTTCTATTGGTGACTGATACAGCCTGCCATAGGTGTTCATTTAACACAAGTTCTTTAAGGCCTTTAAGATACCACAACATGCACATTGTCAGTACTAAATGAGCCCTTAGCGCTTCTGCTTGCAGCTTACAGAGGAATAAAACTGGAACCTTCTAAAGACACTGAGATACCAAGAAAGAGAGGAAGACTGTCATTGACCAAAACAGTCATTTAGGAACAAAAGTGTTAGCTACCATGATATGAAGCAGAATTTATGTTACAGTCTGTGATTCACAGTTCAAACTGCTTGAGCCATAATTTTGTAATAACTATTTAGGCCACAAATCTGAACCTGAAACTAAAGCTAAAGCAAAACATAACTGTAATAGCTCTTAAAGACAGTTACAAGTCTTGGAGAGCCATGCAAGGCCCTAGTGTACTTTGTTTCTCCATATTAGTATTCAGGGCTGTTTATGAATATTTCAAAACATCTAAGAATGACCCCAATCATATCATTTTGTATGTGAGAATGAAAAAGGATTAATTATACTTTGATTAGGAAAAACAAACAATAAAATAAATTACAACACGCATAATATTTTTTTGCATATTTTTTTTTCAACGCAAATTCAACTTCTTCATAAAAAGACTGCCAGTCTCATGACTGACACAAACAATACGAAAAAGGGCAACAATTTGAAGAGCAATAGCAAGAAACAGCCCTGTTAGTATTTACCTTGGAAATATACTAAAGTACTTTAAATATACTAAATACTTTTATATATTTTATATTTAAAAGTATGTGGACACCCCTCCTAATTGTTGCATTTCCTAAATGTTTCAGCCCCACCCATTGCCAACAGGTGTATAAAATTAACCACAGCCATGCAATCTCCACAGACACATGTTAGCAATAGAATGGGTCATACTGAAGAGCTCTGTAGCTTTAAACGTGGCACAAGTCAGTTTGTGAAATTTCTGCCCAGCTAGATCAGCCCCAGTCAACTGTAAGTGGAGCAGTGGAAACATTCTCTGGAGTGATGAATCATGCGTCACTATAGGGCAGTCTGATGGACGTATCTGAGTTTGGCAGAGGCCAGGAGAACGAAGAAGGCATAGTGCCAACAGTAAAGTTTGGTGGAGGAGGCATAATGGTCTGGTCTCTTTCTTAGTGTAGAGGAACTCCAGTGGCTTGCACAGAGCACTGACCTCAATCTAATTGAACACATTCCGGATGAACTGGAACACTGAGTGCGAGCCAGGCCTTCTCATCCAACATCAGTGCCTGACCTCACAAATGCTCTTTTGACAAAAAGGACACAAATTCCCACAGACACACTCCATATAGGTGTGATGGTCTGGTGTCCATATACTTTTGGCCGCATAGTGTAACAGCTATTTTAGCTTGATAAACCAAGCAAATGGAGAAGGCTGGTGAAAATGTTCCATGGAAAAAGAAGCTGTTTATCCAGCGCCGGTGAGCCGTACAGTAAAAATCGTGACCGCTGCCATATTTTCACAGGTGTTGCGAAATTACGTGAGAATAAAAGCCACAAGGGTTGTGTCTGCAGCTCCACTTTCCTCAGCACCTCCCGGTTTCTGGGTTTGATGCTTTTGGCCCTAGCAGGCCTTTCTGTCCTATTTCAGACGATAGGGCAAAGTCTGCTGAGCAGACAGTCTGAAAATAAAGCCGTCTATTCATTACTGCACGTTCACCTTCTCAGTGCCTCTTGTGGACACTTCCAGTGCAGAGAGCAAGCAAGAAACATTCAAACTGGACACAAATTCAGCCAAACATACCAGTCCACATAATGACACTGGCTAGGCTGGTGTGGAAAATGAGTCGTAGAGAGTGAGCAGAGAGATAGGCCGAGCAGTAGCTTTCGCCAAAGTGTAACTGCGTTCTTATCTACAGCTTTACAAACCGTTTGATTGCTTGTAGTGAGGTTGGCTGAGGTAATGCTGCTCTTCTATCTCAGTTCACAAGCTCAATAGGACATAAATCTTTAGAAAAACACAGCAACGATCAAGATGTTAAGATGTTAAGACTTGGTCTAAGCACAAACATTCATGTTATGTGTACATATGTGACTGCACAGGGTTCAGCTTGTGGTCTTCAGCCATTTAAAGGGCCCATATCTTGGGAAAAAAACTCACTTTCTTCAATTTCTACACAGTTTTGCATTGTTAGTTTCAGAAAGTAGCATTCAGTGTACGCAGTTCATGTGTGGAAACAAAGCCTGTTTCAAATTTGCTGTTTTTGTGATGTCACATTTAAATATCAGCCTCCAGTTTAGCCCCACCCGTTCACACACAGGTCACAATGAGTGTTTCAGCCTGGACTGCTTTTTGAATGAGGTGCAATACAGAACAGCCAGTAAGAACAGAGCTCATTTGCATACATCAATCTTAAAGGCACAGTAACATAAACAGCTTGTTTAATGCTAAGGGATGAAGAGAGGTCAGAAAATGGTCAGGAAAATTCATTTCTGGTTAATAAAGCCACACAAATTGCATGACTGTACCTCAGGAAAACAAAATAAATAGAAGAATGTAAGAAATGTTGAAGGGTTAAAAGATTAGAAGTTAAAAGATTCAGGTTTAGAAGGAAATAAATAAGATGCACGATTGTATACCTTTTTCTCGCACGTTTTAAAGCACACTTTCTATATATTTGCTGTGTTTTGGCCTCGCGATGGACTGGTGACCTGTCCAGGGTGTTTCCTGACCACTGGAATAGGGTCCCAGGATAAGCGGCTTAGAACGTGTATGTGTACTGTGTTTAATGTACATACATATATACATATACATAAGTGTACATATATATATATATATATATATATCAAAGCACACACACATATATGTGTGTGGTGTGTGTGTGTGCGCGCGCGCGTGTGTGTGTGTGTGTGTGTTTATTTACTTATTTTAACTTATAAAATCAGCAAAACATGTCCAGAGGTGCCCAAACTTTTGCACGCGACTGTATGTATCCAGTATCAGTTCATGTGCATGCACGATTATAAGAGTGCTGCCCACATGGTCTTACGTAGCAGTGACGTATTCGGCATTGAAAGCCTCGCGCAAGGTTGTCTGCACTCGAAGCGTGCTCGAGCCGCGGCAGACAGCGCGTGCGAGGTAGGTGCCAAAACTTTCCAGCGCTTTTGACACTGAGCTTCTTCAATGCATTCGTTGAAGTGTGTTGTGCAGTAGACCAGAGACCACCCGAGGCTGAAGGGGCTTCTTCCTCTCCGGCTTCTCTCTCTTTCCGATTTTACCCGATCCACCTTAAATGCCGCAGCGGTTACATTCCGGTGCCCTAGGTTACATTCTGAGGAACGTTACCGCTGCAGCATTTAAGGTGGAACGGAAAAATCGGAAAAAAACTTCAGATTGGTGGGGACCATGTGCTCTGGTCGACCTTCACAGTGGACCACTTTCCACTCAATACGTCATTCAGTTTTTTTATATTAGGTAATGGTCAGCTAAATGTGGCAGACAGCATAACTGACTGACTTACTAATTCACAGACTAAATGAATAAATAAATGTATTCTTGTCTTGTTTTAAAACTAATGAAATCACTAAAGCACCAAGCAGTGGATTAAAATTCAGTTCATCAAAAAATATATAGAAGATTTTTTTTTGCTCTTTCCATTTGATGATTGGTCACTGTCTGGTTCGTGTGGTCACTGTCTTTGTCATTGTTTGAGTCATCTCCCCACTTTATCCAGTTATTTGTGTATAGAGGTACTGGAGTGGTCTGTAACTGATATGCCCTGGCATGGCACAGTGAGGGGTTTACAGTGTCCTTCATGCCCTTCACCTACTTTCAATGCAAGGCTTATGTTTAAAGGGGAATCCCACCAATTTTTTAAATTTGCTGTTTAATTCAGTGGTTGAGATGTTAGCAAAGTCACTAAGAGTGGTTTGGCATGCAGTGGTTCGCTGTAGAGAAACTTACTGACGCAAATTTCTTTACAGTGGTGGTGATAGGAACCAGGCGTCACAATGTCTACAACTCAAATATAGCCATTTTATTTACTATCCAGAGCCACCAGTGAACCTACACGAGTTTTTATATGTTTAATAATAGTAAAAAAAGTTTAAAAAGTTAGTTTTCCGTGTGGACTGTGCCTAACAATGTCCTGTATGCGTTCATGCACCATGAATGTATATAAAACTATAAGTTTTAAACTTATTTTATCAAAGCTATCGTAACCATTGTATTCGGTAACTCGTGAGTTGGCTTTTTAAGCTGTTAAACGCTGCAGACGTCTGGTTCCCATCACCGCCACTGTGTACAGTTCTGCCTCTAAAATGGAGCAACCACTGTAAATGACTGTTTACGTCCTAACAGTTGATTTATGAAGACATTTTGAGAAATCGTTGTAATTCTCCTGTTAGCAGTTATAATTATGAATGTACAGAGCTGCTGATTGTGGCTTGTAAGTGTAATCTTATAGAAAAAGAATGACCACAGCTTGAATCCCAGATGGCTCCTTTTATTGGACATCAACCGTGCTGTTTGGGTGCAGAAGCTATTTATTTATTGACCCGTAGTCCACTTTGAGGGTATAGGGAGCCGTTTGAGAATTGGCCAACATGACCACTAGAAAAACAAGTTCATCATGCTTGGGTGATTTTATGTACTTTCTTGGAGCAACACTGCATCTCATTAGAGCTGGATTTCTTCGGAGTTGCTTTTTAGGACAGTTTTGCTCAGTTTCGCTGTAAAGGATGTGTTGTTTTAACTTTTTCAAGTTCATTGAACAACTTATAGTAAAGTTAATAGAACAATAATCTGCCCTACAGTTTATTAACCTCTTGTTATTGTTATTAGTCTTAAATATGATAATAAAGACTGAATATGAATATAAGTGAGGCTTATTATTCAGTATTCATAAACATAATTTGGTAACTGCTATGAAACGTGTAACTTATGTAGTTATGGGCGTGAGAAACTAAAATATGGGCCCACATAAGAACCCTAGTGTTTAAGGGGTTATCACAATTTTCATGCATCATTAGTAAAACAATGAATTGTTTTTGAAATGTTAAAATTGAGAGTAACAAAAGTCCTAAAACGCAATAATCTCTATTCACAATTCTAATAAAATACATTTTTTATGTTATGAAATGCAAAAGACAGTGAAGTAAAGTCACCTGAACATCAAGAACTTCGTTTTTTACCGTGTTCGTGGCACTTGGGGACACTAATATGGAGGGTTTTGGAACTTGCCCGTATGACTCTCACATGACCGGCCCAGTGGAGCTGAAGATGGGGCTCTAATCCTCTATGCTTTTTAAAAAAGGCAAATAAAAATGAGCTTTGAAGACTCAACAAGAAGTCTTTCAGAATGTGCCACAGTTAAAACAGTGATTGCATTTATGCTTTATGTTAACATTCATGCAAAAAAAAAAAACTTTTTCATAGCACATATTCACCCTGTTTCTGCGAAGGGATTAATATCTTCAGACTGGCATGTGGTCACATGCTGCTGCGGATTTGGGTCCCGGTGCTTGTGAATGGGTCGTGAAACGACCTGCCCAGAAAAAGCCATTCATCAAGATTTTGGCCGGAGAACAAGGTGCACACACAAAGAGCTGCACTGCTTGATGATTGTGCACTTTGTTCAGTGAGAAAAAACTGTATAATTAAAGAAAACGTGTCATCGCCATTGATTTGCTCATAGAGTCTGGCGGGGTCATTTTGTGCCACTGCTAGCTGCCATACAGAACAGACGTTATTGACAAGGGTGCAGACTGGAGCGCCCATTTCCCAGGTAATGGTGCAGAATGTCATTTCCTGTTAAATGTAATCTTATACAGCAGAATGACCAACTCCTGCAGAGTTCAGTCCCGCATGGCACCTTACTGGACATGTGCATAGTTAGAGTTAGGCCTTGTGATGACAGCGAGGGTTAGGCGATAATCATTGTTCAAAACTGCCAATAGTTCACAAATAGTTCACTAATAGTTCACAAATAGTTCACTGATAGTTCTCTGATGGTCTATAAGGCTTAAAAAATTCTGTATTTCCAAAACTGGCCACACAGTGGCGCTGAATGATTTCTTTCAGTGGCTGCTGAAGATATTAGCTTTAAGTGGAATTCCACCATTTTTTTAAAAAATTTCTGAATAGGTAAATTGTTTCGATTTGAATCAAAGTCACTCAGAGTGGTTTGATATAAAACACTCCATTCTTACGGAGTCAGACTTGTTCACAGTGCTGGTGATAGGATTCCTCTTAAAGCTACATCACGAAAGTTATTACGAGAAATGGTTATGAATACACTGCCTGATGTCTGAGACGTGGTTTAGTTGTTGTAAAATAAGTTTGAGATCAGCTTTAGCTTTAAAATGCATTTTTTAAATATCTTCATAGTTGAGAGGTGTATGCAGGGTAACTTGTTATTATTGAATATACTTATTATTAAAGAAAACTGTCACTACCACGGTAAAGAAGTCTTTAAGCTTCTCTACACGGAATCATTTCACATGGTAAAGCAATCTGAATGACTTTGTTTAATTGACGAGCGAATTATGTAGAAGTTTTTAAACATCGAAATTATGCTGAGATGACTTTGGGAAGCTGGGCTCAGTGTCTTTGCACTGAATTTCATGCATTGTCACGGATGTAGCTGATTAGGGACGGATCAAGACAATGTATCATATTAAATTATATTGTATTGCATTGCATTGTTGTACTGTAACTGGCATGTTAGTTGTGGTCAGTGTGTTAGCTTAGGGCTAACCTTTCGACTTGTGACTAGATCCAGACTCTATAAACTTTTGTTTCCACTGTTGTACTTTTATAATGTTGAATGCTCAAATAAACTGAAAATATCAGAAAAAGGGAATATTAACATTTTAAAATAAGGCACATTTTCAGCATCTCCTTGTTTTAGTTGTATTGAAAAACGTATTGAAATCGAGAACTCACTGTATAGTATTGGATCAAGTAGTGAATTTTGTGAATCGTTACACCCCTATAGTTAGAGCTTTTTGCATGTTTTGATAATGACTAGTTGTATCTAAATCTACAGCAAATTGCTTAACACAAAAATAGTGTTGTTAAATAAGCTGTTATACTGCTAACATTGCGACAATAATATCGATAAATCGTCCAGGCCTAATAGGAGCATGATCCTGATCCTCAGCCTTGACAGATGAAGATAAAGGAAACATTTGTGAGACACAAAGTAAGAAAGTTTAACATATCGCTGTTGTCGGAACAAAACCTTGTATCTCCAAAATGGTAACTTTACAGGAGAAGGAAAAAACCTACTTTACTTTTAATGTAAGTCAATGGAACCAGACGTTTTTCCAATTCATTTTGGGTCATTTCTTTTAGTCCATTCATTATGAAATTTACACACAATGTAAAAGACAACAGGTATTTTCAAATTATGTCAAAAATTGAGATACGAGGTTTTCTTCCGACAGCAGCGATATTAAGTGTAACATTTTAATACTGGTTTGTAAATCACTCATACGCCCCTTGGTTACTTCAGATGGTCCTTCATGTACGATCATTTCTAGAAAACTGATAGTTGTAGAAAACTTTGCGTTGTTTATAGCTACTCACTACTTTGCCGTCTTTTGTTTTTCTGAGCTAAACTGATCTTTACAGTATTTAATCAGAACTCTGTAGAATGACAGGCTTGGCATATAAAATATCAAAAATTGAATCAAATCATGACCTCAGAATCAAACCTCGAATCGAAACTGAAAATGCATGCATCCTTAAATTTAATGAGTGTGTGTTTCCAGGATGGACTGGAACAGTCGTCGCTAAGTGACCAATACATCTGAGGATTAGATCAGTGGCCCTTTTAGAAGAATGCATTTGTTTTCTGTGCAGCACTGAGTTCAGACTGAGGGGTAAAGTGTCAGTCTCAGGGGACGTGAGGCCCAGTTTGATCCGATTGTGTCCAAGCCCGCTGTGAGCCTTCCTGGTAGGGTGTGACCCAAAACGTGTTTCCTCTATCTCTAGAAGGCACACGCTGCTGAAAGCTGGAAGACCTGATACAAGTATGATCACGAATGTCCTCCAGAAGCGGCTGTGGTAGAATAAAGTTCTTGTAATTATTTTTAAAGTGTTCGTTTTTGCTACTGGAGCTACGAGGCTAATGT